ATGGCGCCCGCACGCTCCTGCTAACAAAGAAACCCGTCGACCAATGAGGGGACGGGGGCGGGACCGGGAGCCGCGAGCGCAAGGTAACTTGTCCAGGCTGGGAAGGTGGAGGCGCTGGGATGGAACTTTCAGGTTTGGTGGACTGGCGCCGACGCCCGCGGCCTGACAGCTGCGGCACTGGGCTGGGCTGCTCCCGGAAGGGCGCCGCGGATCTCCGCGGTCTCCCCGAGGGCCGTTGCCTCCCTCTTAGCCTTTTTGCTGCGGCCTTCTGCCGCGCCTAGCCTGCACCCCTACTTTGTGCCAGGTCTACGGTCGACCAGATGGCACTATTAGGGCTAGGCACTGTTCCAAGTGCTCCCCGTGGTTTAGCTCATTAAAGTTTCCTCAATCTTTCCATGATCGTTCCTGTTTTACGTGAGGAAACTGAGGTGCGCGGAACAGTTAAGTAATGATACATAATGTTTCCGAGATGATTAGGTGACAGCAGCCTCAAGGAGCTATCAATTTTATTACGGGAGATGAGTGAACCCAATTCTGCTTGGTACGTAGTTAGCCACCTTCATTACGTACTTGCGGAAACAAAGGCTCAGACACCGGGAGTAGCTTATGCAAGGTCACTTTGCCAGGAAGGGACCCAAACTGTTACTCCAGGCCACTGTTGTCCAGATTTCCAGGCAAAAGGCCACTTGGAAAGGAAAGAACAGCGGAGTGCAGAATGGGTCAGGGTGAAGGGGGACAACCCCTGCACCTTAGGAGAGAGTGCTTCCAGCAGCCCTGAGATAGATCTAAGCATAGAGCGTGCAGAAATGTTCTCAAGGTATGCAGATAGAGGTGGGGGAGGAGGAATAAGAAAGGAGAATGTGGTCCCAGGACTCTGGAGGCATAACTAGAAGGATGGAGAGTTTGACGTCAGCCTGAACCATAGTGAGGCATTTCTAAGGAGTAGTGGGGAGGGAGGGAAGAGGTAAGGGTGGGAGGGATTCCTTAGGCCTGAGATTCCAGACTTAGCCAACTGGCAGTTAGGAGTCACCCTGAGTTTTTACCAGAGACTGAGCTAACTCTTTTTCCGGTGAAGGTGATATTGAAGCAGGTGGTAGCAGCGTTGAGAGCAGCTGAGCTCCGGAGGTGAGGAGCCTTTAGAGGAGATGGATGCCTTCAGAGCTGTGGACTTTTCCACTGATCAGCTGGTGACTACCCAGGGGAGCTGTATTTCCATTTTGAGAAAGAAATGCTTTCCTGCACAAAGAACCAGGAATGAAGGAACCCAGATCAAAGTCTGCCTACAGCCTGAGGGAAAAGCCCAGCTCTGATCCAGCTGTAGGCAAGCCCTTTCCCCTGGGTGGTGCCTCATTGACCACATATACCAAAGTGACATGAATGTATGGTGTGGCAAGCATTAAGTGATAATAATGCTTGCAAAAATATTTCACATAGTATGGCCAATCATGTTACTCGGTGAATTTTTGCAGAGGAGTGTTTACTGCACTATTCTTGAAACCTTCTTGTTGGCTTGAATTTTTCCAAAAGTGAAGGGGAATGAGGAAAGGGAGACTGGCAGCTCTTGTCTGCACAGAATACTCAGAAAGCGATACCAATGGCGGCCTCTGGGGAGAAGAACTGGGTTATTGGGAAGTGACCTACTTTTCATTTTCATTATAAAACCTTTTTGCTCCTTTTGGGTTTCTGTTTCATGTGCATGTACAACTTGCTTAAAAAGAAAGACTTAGACCAGCGAGACGGCGCCGTGTGTAAAGGCTTTTGATGTCAAGCCTGATGGATTGAGATCGATCCCCTGAAGCTGCATGGTGGAAGTGGAGAACAAACTCCTGCAAGCTGTTCTCTGACCTCCATATGCGTGCCGCAGTGTGCCGAGCTCATGTGTATACACACACACACACACACACATACACACACACACAAAGTAAACTTAAAATGTAATTAAAATTTTTCAAAAAATATTTCCAAGTTCTACCCATATCTTGGGGCCAGTCAAGGCTACCCTATTAAGAAAATGCTGAGCCAGGCAGTGGTCGTACATGCCTTTATTCTCAGCACTCAGGAAGCAGAGGCGGGTGGATCTTTGTGAGTTTGGGGCCAGCTTGGTCTACAGAGTGAGTTCCAAGACAGCCAGAACTACACAGAGAAACCCTCTGTCTTGAAAAACAAAAATAACAGAGAGAAAGGGAGGGAGGGAGGGAAGGAGGGAGGGAGGGAGGGAGGGAGGGAGGGAGGGAGGGAGAAAGAAAGGAAGGAAAGAAGGAAGGAAAGAAAGAAAATCTGAGCCTCTTCTGTCCAGGCCTGCCGGGTACCACTGAAGTCCAGCTGTTGGTGTGAAGCAGAGTGATTCAGGGATCCTGAGGCTGGTAACCTGACAAGAGCTGTACTTCAAGCAAATGGAGACTCATGGAAACAAGAGGCAAATACACACCTTCCACTGGGAAGTTGTGGGGTCCTGCCTGGGAAACAACCCCTGACTCCATCGGTAGCCACAGGGTGTAAGCTCCTGGAGAAGGCAATGTCTTGGACAGTAAGACTCGATCTGGAGGAGAAGGAAAGACTTTCCAGACCGCTGCAGCAGGGTCTCCAGACCTCCAGACCAGCCTGTGGAAACAAACAGAAGCCTGGCTGTCACTAGGGTGCTACAGATTCAAGCTGTCCTGATAGAGGAGACGTTGGGAGGATGAGTGAGTGGCGCAAACTCCCTGAAAAGGCAGGTATGCTGCTGGTGGTGGGTAGGTACTATTACTTCATAACTATCTGGAAGAAGAGGCCCACTGGGCTCAGGGCACACTAGGTCCTTGCCTATGGTGACAATTAAGTCAGTACTTTGCAAGTGAGAGTTCAAGTCTTCAGGCTGACACCACCATCACCTGGACAGTGGAGAGTGCCAAACTGGGTGGTACCCAGGGCCTTAAACGTGCTGTGTAAGTGCCCTGCCATGAACCGCGTCCCAATGCAATTGGGGATCTTTGGGCTAGGCACTTACGTAGGAGCCCTTGGTCTGGGAAATGAGTGGCAAGCAGAAGTTTAGAAATGGGATCCATCAGGAAATGATTATGAAAGACCAGAGAGGACAGAAAATGGGGCCAGAACTAGAACAGTTATCAGTCAGAGATGCAAGGAATGAAATTGGACAACATTAAAGTGGATTAAAATTCCAGTAGCCTCAGCATCCCTAAGGCAGAGCTGGGACAGGCTTACTACTGAATTTCCCCACCTAATTCAGTGCCTAGTAGAGAGTGGGTACCCAGCCAACTCCTAGTCACAACTGAATAGGTGAGAACATATTATTTCATCATACCAAACTATTTCCCTTATCCGATTATAAAACCCACCCAGCCAGATTTGAGTCTCATAGCTGTGGGTTCCCTTTTGGAGGCCTAAAATACAAACATTCATTAGGCTATAGACTTAGAATTGATTCATTGAAGGTTTAGCTCAGTGGCTGAGCACTTACATAGCATGCGTAGTATTGTAGATAAGTAATGTGGTATACTTGGGAGACTGAAATGGATTGATGTGAGTTCGAGGTCAACCTGGGGCTTCATAGAGTGTGCCAGGCTATTCAGGGCTATAAAACAAGACCCTCTCTCAAAAACAAGTTGATTCAGGCCAAGTGTAGTAGTGCACACTTTTAATCCCAGTGCTGGAGAGGCAGAGCAGACTGATCTCTGTGAGCTCAAGGTCACCCTGTTCTACAGGGCGAGTTCCAGGACAGCCAGGGTTACATAGTGAAACTCTGTCTCAATAACCAAAACAAACAAAAAAGACAACTCACTACATTGCTTTCAGTGTGATGTATAATATATACCCCGAACAAATGAGCAGGCAGGCAAGCAAGAAAAGGCGTCTCAGGTGGGACCCAAGGCAGTTGAGTCTTGCCGTGTGGTTCTGAGTATCACTCTTGAAAGCCTCCAGGGATGTAGCAGAATTTACACAAATCTACACATGCTCACATGAAGGTGACCACTATTTTGTTCTCTACCATCTTGCCTGACCTTGAACTTGGCATGAGTGAGAGTCTTCCAGTGTACCTGGCTTTTCTCTCTTATCTGTGACAGTCATATGTCCACATGGAGACTGAGTATCTTATGATCAAATGCCCAATAAGAGGCAACTGAAGAAAGGAACGGGTTTTTTTTTGTTTGTTTGTTGTTGTTGTTTGGTTTGGTTTTTAATTTACAGTTTATGGCTACAATCCCTCATGGCAGGTGTGACATGGCAGAAGGCACTGCTGATGACCTTAGAAGCAAGTGTGTGAGGCTGCCATGTTCACTTCTCCATAGATAGGAAGATTAGGGAATGCCAAACCTCTTCTTTCTCCCCTTTTTATTCAGTTCAGGACGCAGCACATAGGATGATGCTGCCTACCCTCGGGTGACCAATCCTGTGTAACCTGCATGGCTTGGGAGTGCCCAGACTATGGCGATGGATGATGACCAGGAGACCTAAGAAAGGACAGAGTCAAAGACATACATCTGGATCGTGGCTTTATTACATATAGCTGAACAAGCTTATTGTATACAGCTAAAGGAGGAGTCAGGTTTAGTTCATCTCAGAAAGAGGTCTCTCTAGGGCTGTGGTCTCCACCGGTAACACGTGGGAGAAGGAAAGCTGTGGCCGTACTTTCTGCATACATAGCTTTTAGCAAAAGGCCAATTCTTCAGCATTTGTACTTGCACCAAAGGAAGGCGTTGTCATTCCTCTGAGCCTTGCTCAGGGAAGGGTTTGACATTTCCATGGGTCACTGACATGGTCATTTTTGAGTTAACACTTGCCCACTTCATCCACTCCCCATACTTAGGGACCAGCTCTCACACTTAGTCCTCTCTGGAAACACCCTCGTAAACACACCCAAAGGTGTTGCTAACTGATGCCCTAGACATTTATTAATCCAATCAAATGACAAGGAAGCTTAGCCATCATATTGTGTGTCAGTCATTTTTTTTTTTACATTGCTTCCTTGTTGCCCATTGTGCGGCTATACTGCCATTTATCCACGCTCTTGTGGATGGCTGGCCACTGGGGATGTTCACACATAGCTATGCACATATGAGGGATGGGCTCTCTTTTCTGTTAATAACTGATCATAGGATTCTGGCATTTATTTATTTGTATGTGTATGCGCCTTATACATATATACATAGGCCCTTATATGTGAAGATCAAAGGATAACCTTGGGTGTTGGTTCTTATGTTTCAAGTTATTTAAGGTCTTTGTTGTTTATAGATGTGTACACACTTTGCTCATCCTGGGATTCTTTTTGCTCTACCTCCCAACTCATTTCAGGCTAACTGGGATTGTTTTGTTTTGTTTTGTTTTTCAAGACAGGGTTTTTTCTGTGTAGATTTGGAGCCTGTCCTAGAACTTGTTCTGTAGACCAGGCTGGCCTTGAACTCACAGAGATCCCCCTACCTGTTTCCCAGTGCTGTCATTAGAGGCGTACGCCACCACCGCCTTTACTATATGGTGCTACACCAAACTTTGTGTGGGTTCTGGGATTGAACTCAGTTCTTCACATTTTTGGAGTGACGACTCCCCAGATTTTGATTTTTTAAATGAAAGTATCCAATATTCCTTATCTTTTGGTATCTCTGGAAATAGTGGACAGAGTTTTGGTTTTTGAAGGCCAGGACATTTTTAATAGTCCCCATTCTCGAGCCCCATTGCCAGATGTATTTATTCAGTTAGTGTGAGTAAAAGTTCCTCTGAGGGTGTTGGGCTACAAACTTTTCTTGGGAAAATGTGTACAGTCCTCTACTCACAACAGATAGGGAGCCCACGATGGATAAAATATGGATATACTTAAGTCCCACTTGGTGAACCCATAAGTTTTATTGAAGTTACTTACAAGAATATGAGTGGAGGGTTATTTGTAGGACCAGAAATAACTCAGTGGAGTTTTACCACCAAAGCCCACCCCCACTTAAGTGACAGCTCACGGAAGCTGGAAACCTGGAGCACAGTTAGCTTGGAAGCTGTCCTTCAGAGCAGCTCAGCTGCTCTGAACCTCTTCCAGGCAGCTCAGCGGTTCTTTTGTTTCTTCTAAGTAGTCTGGCTGGTCCCTGCTTCCTTCAGTTTTCTCAGCTTGTCTCAGAGTTTTCTCTGTTTGTCTGAGAGTGACTGGCTTATATACTTTTGGGGTAGGAGTAGCCTAGTGAATCTGATCAGTTTCAGGAACTTCCAGAAGCGTTTCAAATGGTTTGTTTTCTGTATGTGCAGGACGGAGTGTTTCGCTCTCTTTCAAATGGAATATCTTGTCGTTTCACCTGCTTGTAAACACCGTGTCCTAAAATAGCCTGTTTCGTTTTCCCCTTACATCGAATGTCTTGAGAAGCTTTCCTCCATTACAGAAGGTTGTGGTCTGGGAGGAAACTGTTACTTAACAGATGGGTAGGACTCTTTTGGACAAGATGGGGCCGGGTCATGTGGAGGCTGAACCTGGAGCATCAGAAAAGGCACAGCCCCTCCTCACAGTCCAGAGCGCCTCCTTTTTCCTTCCCTTACTGTGCTGCAGATCTCAGAAACCCCCAAAGTGGCCCTGGAAGGAAGAAGACAAAGTTCTTTGGAGATGAGCCAGCCTGTGGCACTCTGAAGTCCAAAGTCAGTTGACTATGGCCCAGGCCTACCTAGTCTTCAGGTGGGAGGGCTGGCCTGTGGTGTGAATCCCAAGGGGAGGCTCTATTAATAGTGGCTACTTCTTTGGATTGTGAGGACTAGTCATGCATGAAGGCATGTGCCTGTAATCCCAGTGTGAAGGAAGTAGAAGCAGAAGGGTCAGAAGTTGAAGGTCATCCTCTCCTGTATGTGTCTGTGAAGAACAAGCTTTTCTCTGAGAAGGCTAGCCCAGCAAGGGCCAGGATCCTCCAAACCTCCCCATCCTGTGAGCCTCTGTGTACACGCCTGTTTGCCCAAGCCCTGGATGCCAGACATTCCTGAGATTTGACTCCATCACACCCTCCCCTTCACGCCAATTATGAATCATATCGAATCTCGAAGTCAAGCTCCTTCCAGTGGAATTAGACACAGTCACCACCTGCTTTAGGATAAAAAAACAGAGTGAACTTCCTGCCCCAGTGTGGCTGTTCACCTGGTTTGGGTCATTGTACACCAGCGTGCAAAAAGTAAATTGCTTCAGTGAGCTCCTCTGCCTATGTTTGTGTGTCTCTTCTTGACACTGGGAATATTCTGTTCTGACACAGAATTCAAAGCCTGCGTGGGCTACCTGAGACGCTGTCAACAAAACAAATAAAACAAAACATGTGACCAAAAAGATTGTGAGAACTAAACAATTTAATGGGTGCGTAGGAGTTTAGCATCAGCCCCGAAGCACATGAACACATTAGCATTTATTATTATACCTCTGACTTGACCTTGGCTACACTGGCACCTTTCTTATGTGTTACTTGTTTTTCAAGAGCCAGTTGTCAAATATTTTTTGAGCTTTTTAGGAAAAATAGTTTCTTGCAGCCGCTCAACTCTGCCAAGGAATCCACATTCATTAATGAGACAGCTCCACTGGGATCCAATCAACGCTTAGATATGGTAACCATAGTGAGCTGAGTTAGGTCCTCTTTCTCCGGTGTTCTCCTCTTCCTCCCAGATAGATAAAGAAACTAAGGCACAGAAAGGACAAGCATCATATTCAAGTGACCTTCAGGTGCGGGAGCTACTGCACACTCTCATGGGTGGGGACAGATTGCTGTTTTAGAAACAGAACTGAAGGATCTCAAAAGTCCTTTCAACTGGATGGGGAATAGCAGGGAAGGGAACTTCTCTAGAGCAGAAAACACATAACAACGCTTCCCAGATAGGCACCAGGAGACAGTGTCACATGTTAGATACAGAAATCTATCCAGAAGAGTAGGTTATCCATTCCACTGAACTCTTATATATGGACCCCTTGGATTTAGCAATGCCGCTTCTAGAAAGATAGGTTGTAAAACTGGTTTCACAAGCCGAGGAAGAGATTTATTCTAGGATGTTTATGTTTTCCTTCCTTTCCTTCTTTTATTTTCTGTCTTCTTTTTAAAAGTTGGTTATTATTTATTTTTTAATATAATTTTATCACTTCCCTTTTCTCTTTCTTCCCTCCAATCTCTTACATGTTCCCTTCCTCCAACCCCTCCCATGTCCCTCAAACTCACCAACTCCCCTCAAACTGATGGCCTTGTTCTCTTTGTATATACACAATATACACATAGATATATAAATACAAGCAGCTGAGTCCATTTAGTGTTGTTGGTGTACACAATTTCGGGGCTCACCGCTTTGTATTGGATAACCAATTAAAGGGCTCATCCCTGGAAAAGACTGCTTCTGCCTCTCTCAGCAGTCAGTAGTTACCCTGTCGTTCTTTGTCTAGGAGTGGGGTTCCATGAGATTTCCACCTTCCCTGTTTGCCTGTCTATTGGTCCTGCTATTGTCCAGGTCTTATTTAAGCAGCCATATTGTTGAGGTATCCTGAGTGTAGTTTTCCTGTCTTTTCTAGGTGATACAATCTAATGGCACCACAGACTTCCTGATCCTCTGGCTCTAGTAATCTTTCTCTTGGTTCTGACATCTTCCCTGAGCCTTGGGTGCAGGAGTTGTGTTGTAGATGTAGCTAGTGGGGCTGGTTGCTCCATGAGAAGTTGATCGTAGCATTGTGGCCAGCTGTGGTTTTCTGCAACTGTCTCCATTTGCTGCAAAGAGAAGCTTGTTGATGGGAATGAGAGATATGCTTATCTGTGGCATAAGAATTAGTTTTAGCAGTAGGAATTATGCTAGTTAAGTAAAGTTGGGGAGTAGTAGAAACTTAGCTTGGCTCTGTTTCCAGTACCGAGTAAGTTTTCCCTCCTGTTGAGCAAGCCTTAAGTCCGATTAAGAAAGCTGTTGGTTACTGCCAAGATATGAATACCACTATTGCACCTTTAGTGCTATTTTACCATGCTGGTCATTGTTGTGGTTCATAGGCATAACAACTGGATAGCACTATGATTATTTCTCTTCCTTGGTACTTTGTATAGCGTTCTGCTACTCTGAAAGCAAGACCACAGGAGGGAGGCTTTTACGTATTTTGTTGGGAACTAGAGAGATAGCTCAGCAGATATGAGCACTGGCTGCTCTTTCAGAGGTCCTGAGTTCAATTTCCAGCAACCACATGGTGGCTCATAACTTTATATAATGGGATCTATTGTCCTCTACTGGCATTCAGCTGTACACGCAGACAGAGCATTTATATAAATAAATATTTTGCTTATTGCTATTGTATGGTATGTGTGTATTGTGTGTTGTGTTGTATATGTGTAGAGGTCGTGGGACAAGTCTGTGAAGTCAGTTCTCATTAAAATGTATTTCATGTGAATGTGTGTGTGCTGAGGCTATGTATGTACACCACATATGTCCAGGAGTCCATAGAATTCAGAAAAGGTTGTCATATCCCCTGGAACTGGAGTTACAGATGCTTGTGAATTATGTGAATGCTAGAACCCAACCTGGGTTTTCTGCAAGATCAATAAATACTCTTAACTGCTGAGCCATCACTTCAGCTCCTTCCTCCACGGATGGAACTCTGCTCATCAAGTTTTTGCAGCAAGCATTTTTACCCAACATCTTGTTTTATTTTATTTTTTTTTAAGACAGGCTCTCATATTCTATAGTCAAGGCTAGTCTCAAATTCATTATATAGCCAAGACTATCCATGAACTCCCAATACTTTCGCCTCTCCTTTTCAAGTACTGGAATAATAGATGTGCATGCCTGGTCTTTCTTTCTTTTCTTTTCTTTTCTTTTTTTTTTAAATTCTGAGTCAGGGTCTCACATATCCCAGCCAGGCCTTAAATTTGATATGTAATTAAGAATGACTTTGAACTTCCAATCCTCTAAAATACTGGGATTGCAGGCATGTGCCAGCACACCTGACTTATGTGATGCTGTGGGTGTAATCCAGGACTTTGTGCATGCTAAAACAAACACTCTATCAACTGTTCTATATCCTTCGCACTACCTTTTGGGTTTTGAGACATGATCTCACTTTGTACCACAGACTGGCCTCAAACTTGCAGCAATCTTCCTTCCAAGGACTTGGGTTACAGGCATGAGGCATCCCACATGGCTTTCATTGTAATTTTTTATATTTAAATGCTATTATTATTGTGTGTATGTGATGTTTATGTGGGCATGCTCATGCCACAGTGTATGTGTGATGGTCAGAGGACAACTTTTGAGAGTCAATTCTGTCTTTCCATCGTGGGTTCCAGGCAGGCTTGTGGCAAGTTCTTTATGTTCTGAGCTAGCACTTTGGCCTGGCTCTCATTGTTTTCTTCTTTTTCTTTCTTTCATTTTTTTTTAAGATTTATGCATCTTATATATGAGTGCTTTATTTGCGTGTACTTTATGACAGAAGAGGGTGTCAGATCCCACTATAGATGGTTGTGAGCTACCATGTGGTTGCTGAGAATTAAACTCAGGACCTCTGGAAGAACAGCCAGTGCTCTTAACCACTGACCCATCTCTTCAGCTTATTTCTTCTTGTTCTTCTTCTTGTTCTTGTTCTTCTTCTTCTTCTTCTTGTTATTATTATTATTATTATTATGTGCACATTTGCATACATGCATGCATGATGAGCATGTAGAAGTCATAGGACAACATTTGGGAGTCGGGTCTCTCACTTCATCATATGGATTCTGGGGATTTGAACTCAGGTCCTCCGGCTTTTGTTGCAAGTAGCGTTATCTTTCTGGTTCTCTCATTGTTCTTTTTTTTTTAAAACTCATTATTCTTAATAGTAGGAAAGTGGAGAAACTCTAATAGTCTGTTGTTAGAGAATTAGATAAGCAAGTAGTTCTTTGATACAGTTGGAAAAACTTGAGAAAATAGAAATAGTGTTGAAATAGCCTATGGTCGACCAAATGCTGTGAAGTTAAAAAGTAGTGGAACCCAGGCTTGGTGGTACAGGCCTGTAATTTCACTGACCTAGGAGGCAGAGGAAGGATGATCACAAGTTCAAGGTCAGTCTGTGCTGTGGAGTGTTCAAGGCCAGCTTGAGTAGCTTGTTGAGAAACTGCCAAAACAAAACAAAACAAAACAAAACAAAAAAGGACTTTAAAAAGGCTGAGAAGTAGCTTAGTGTTAGAGTGCCCCTTGTGTTAGGAAAAGAATAATCTCACTGTTGCACAAAGGAACATGCAAAATAATTTGGCAAGACAATTTCCTTTTGCAACAAAGGTATATTAGAACCCAAACTGGGCTGAGGACAAACTGGGTCAAAATGACCTTAGTCTTTTATCCCTGACATAGGAGGCGATTGCATTGCACCCCATTGGTGGGAGCTCAACAATTACAATCTGACACAATCGGATAGTCAGTGCAAGGGGATGGGGTGGACTCAGGAAACGGGTCCTGGCCAGGCTAACTACCTTTGATAGAAAAGGGTTGTTTTTTCTCATGATTCCTTCCTCTTTATTATGCATTTTTCAAACTTAGCCAGCAATATTGACCATTTGAACCCTCGAGTAACTTAATTATTGTTATAGTAAGTGATGACTTAAGTATTATTTAAAATGATCCTACCTTCCTAAAGATGGTCCCTTGACCACATGGTTGACCTTGTCCAACTGTAATATGAAGTTTTCCATCCTGGTCAGAGATTCTATTCTCTTGACCAGAGAGTATTTTCTCTTAACAGACCTTTATTTTTATTTTATTATTCTCCTGTCAGGAAAGTTAACCCTAGCATCATTTAGGAACCAGATCAGAGAGCAAGGCCCCCAAAACACTTTTGGCATTCTGGTCTCTGGAAAGATGAAGCTACCAAGAAGTCTAAGGACACATTTTGTTTTTAACCTAAGGAGAAACTGATTATTTTTCTCTGGAGTCTTTTTACTCTAGACTAGTTCATTTTTTTATCATCCCCACCTCCTATTACTCTAAAGAAGTAATCTTAATTGCCGTTATAGAACTGGGACAATTCTTGACATTGTTTGATTTATGCATTTGGAAGCATGAAGAAAAATGTCCCCTTCGTTGGCACTCCTCTTTGTAGACCGAACCCTGATTAGAGTTCACTGGGTAGGGTCTCCATGGCTTCCATGAACAGGAGACTCCCCACAGTTACAGGACATTTCAAGAGATGTCCCATAGTTTCATGGGACCTAGTTGACCTTGGA